CATTTAAAATACAGTTGTCCTTAAAATTATTCTATGATTATCTTGAAAATAATTTTAGAACAGTCCTCCTTAGCCAATAATCAGCCCGTGTGTGTGAGTAGCTTTGTGAAAGCTGAAAGTCTTTGTTTTGCAGCAAGTAAAATGTTTTCATCTGATTTGATATGAACACTATAAAGATCTGCACAGTAATCATAACTATTTTTTTTCTTTTTTCTTTTCTATAGACTTCCCGCTATTTTGGGGCCACTTCAGATTACATATAGTGATGTGTCTAAGGAGTTGCACAATCTGGTGAAAACTTTTAGGTAAGTATTATTTCATTTTGCTCATCATAAAACATATGCATGTGAATCTAGCTTCAGTTACACTTTTACAACAGTGTCCCTTCCACTGCTCTACCCTCTACTGTCTGTGTCAGTTTTATTATATATAATAAGGCAGAATTAAAGCTGAACTCCAGGTCACTCACTTGCTGCACAGGTCCTCCGAAGCCCCTTTTTTCATTGCTCCATTATTCGCAGCACTCGGACATCATGACGTACAATTCAAGACCAGCAGTCCTACATTGTAAGTAGGGATGCTGGAAGGCCTCCCGGAACGGTGGAGGGAAGAGAAGAGCCCCAGCTTCCAGTAGTACTGCTGTTTTATTTTCCCCCTAGATTAAAATCAGTATTTTAAATCAAAAGTTACCCTTCCTGTGGGGCTCCTCCCACTACAGGCTGCCTGCCGAAAACTACAGGAGGGGTGGATTTAAGACCAGTCGTGCTGCACAGGGAGAGACATAAGCAGCAACCAGTCTTTATTACAGGGAACTGCACAGAAGCAAAGTTGTACACTGGATTACTGGACAAATCAGGAAAACATACACAAAGCACACCAAGATTTAAGTAAGAATATACATGCCTCTTGTAATTAGGCAATATTTGCTTAATCCAAAGTTCAGCCTTAAAGTATAATTAAAGTCTAGTTGTTTGGCATATATCTACTGCTAGTAGGCAGTAGATATATGAAAAAACATTTAAAAAAATTAAAAAGTTACCAAAAAGGTAATTACTTACCTGCGTCTCCGCCGCTCGCTCCCATCTGAAGATTATCGAGCAGCTGTAAAGGAACACGAGGGAGTCGCATGTCCAGTAGAGATCTTCCTACAGGAGAAGAGGAGAGACACAGTGTAAGTTAATGCAGGCAGCCGGGCAGCATGCACGCGGACAGACACCGTGGGACACAGAAGACACAATAGTCAGCGCTGGATCAGAGAGCAGCACCTCCTGAATACAAGTGGAAGGAAGAAGATGATCTGATCAAGAGGCATCATTTAAGGTAAGTCCTTAAAGCAGCATGGGGGGGGAAGGGGGGTGTGGAAACTGTGACCCTAATGTTTGACAACAAAGACACCTTTAGAAATGTTTAGTAATGGCTAAACGGATACTTCTAGATAATTGCCGGCTTTGTATTCTTTGCATACCTTATTTTTCTTTTCCTCCCCATTCTTCCCACAGTGGCCATTTTTACTAAGGGAAGATGAATCCATCTCCTTTTACTTCCTGGATTTCTGGCACATGTGACTAGGACATGCGACCATGCACATCATCTCAGGGGGAAAATCCCTTTCCCTGAGATCTTGTGAGATTTTGCAGCTTAGATATGAAATTTCCCAGCAATGCTCTGGTTATGTAACCTTCCCAGGATGCATCTCTTAGGCACAGGCTACATCACTAATGCCTAAGAGGGCCAATAAGTAGAATTACAGTAATTGCAATAAATGTAAGTAAAAGAAAAATGTTTATTTAACTAATGAATGTAAGTTGATTTCATATAAGCATGCAGAGCTGCATACTGAGGTGATTTTTTGTGAAAGGGGGACAATGGCATTTGACTGGGTGGAAGATTTATAAATTGACCCCAAAAAGTTTTTATACTAACCATTTATTAAGGATTTTAGTCAAATGCAAATCTGAACTTTTTAAAGGTGTTCCAAAGTGATTCTGTCTCTTCAAATATAAAAATTGCAATCAAAATGATTCAACACCCATTGCAAATCAGGTTTATTGGCAACATTTACAGACCTTCAGTTGCTTGAAATGAACAAATAACACAAAACCAATTGAAATAGGTCAACACAACAAATGTTTCAAGTGGTTTCCCCAAATTCATCTGAAAATGCAACTTTTAATGACTTCTGCAGTCCTAACATTTTTCAAACCCCTCAATATTGTAGAATCTGAGGAGGCAGATTTCTGAGAAGGTAGGTAGAGAAAAACTCTCAAAGTGACTGCAACAGACCAGCAGCAAGACATGGTGGCAACAGTCAGGCAATGCGGTTTCCGTTTACACAGTAAGGCGCAGAAGGTTCCTTTGCCAGAACTAGAAGACGTCCACCGCTACTGACCCAAAACCACAAGACAATCAGCTCCAATATACTCAAAATTATATAAATAAGCCACAGAAATGTTGGGATTTTGTTCTGTGGAGCTGTAAAACAAAACTGAACCTTTTGGCCCCATGGGTCAGCGGTATGTTTGGAGGAAGAAGAATAAAGCATACACTGAAAAGAGCACCTTGAGTCTACAGTTAAGCATGGTGGTGGCTCGGTGATGCTCTGGGGCTGCTTTGCATGCTCTGGCAGTGGAAACCTTCCGCGAGTGTAAGGCAAGATGGATTAATTGAAGTATCAGGAAATCCTAGGAGAAAACGTCATGCTGTCTGTGAGAAAGCTGAAGCTTGGGCGTCATTGGACTTCCCAACAGGACAGTGATCCCCAGCAAACCTCAGATTCCACCAAGGCTTGGTTGCAAAAGAAGTCCTGGAAGATTCCACAGTGGCCATCACAGTCACCTGACTTAAAACCCTATAGAAAATCTCTGTTGGGATTTTTTAGAAGGCGGTTGCAGCACACAAACCCGAGAATTTTACTGAATTGAAGGCCATTGCTAATGAGGAATGGGCTACGATTCCTCAGGAACACTCCCCGAAGCTGGTGTCTGCCTATGCCTCCCGTTTTCTGCAGGTCATACCAGCAAAACGGTGCTCTACTAAGTACTAAAGATGCTTGCCATGAAGGCGGTTGAATAATTTTCAGACTGCAGAAGTCATTAAAAGTTTCAGTTGCATTTCCAGTACAACCACTTGAAACATTTGTTGTGTTGATCTATTTCAATTGCTTCTGTTTGATTTGTTCACTGGAAAGTCTTTTGCTAATAAACCTGATTTGCAATGTGGGTTGAATCATTTTGATTGCAACTGTAAGTCTCATTTCTTAATGAGTTTGATTCCCAAGCACTAAAAACCTCCGGTCCCACCTTCAAATGGTGACTGGTTCCTTAGGGTGGATACATTGTATTTGTGTGAAGAGATTACCATTATAATAGGATGGACTTCTGGTTGGTTATCCTTTCAAGATACAAATGAGTACACTACTTTGTTGTTCTCGGTATCATCAGGCATCCCATCGGTCTAACAGCTTATGTAAACCAAAGAGAGAAGATCCTTCTACAGCCTTTGTATCATAAAGCAACAACCATGTTACCCCCTCCCTCACCTCGCTTTCTATTGTGTTCCTGTCTGCATATTATTTATTTCTGTTTGAAACACTTCTATTGTTTCTCCCCATCCATCAGCCCAGGCTTAATATGTCCATATGGATATACTGCATACAACATATGCCGTTTGTCAGGATCGGATTCTACAAGGGGCTTTTGTTTTTATTAATAATTTCTTATCTGTCATTATAACATAGTTAACCTGCACGTCCCCTAATCAAACATCACTGCGTCAGGTTTGATTGGTCCTGTATGTCTACAATGGACTGTTCTTACAGTCACTTGTCACTTCCTCTTTGTGTCACCTTTGCACAGTCCTTTTAGCCAGTTAAGCAGTCCATCAAACTGGTGGGCCAATAGTAATGTGGGAGATGGGGCAAGCATCGACACAGCCTTGAAGTATCAGAACCTGGCTTGTTCAGAGCAACCTGATATTTGGCCATACAGGAACCAGCTAAAGCCACTGGAGATATGTGCTGGTACATGCAAGTACCTGCAATTTATATCCATTTATTTTTGGGATTTTTTTAGTGACAGTCTCTTCAAGTTAACAGCATCGACTTATATATTAATGGACATATAATTGGAAGGATAAGATGTGTCTGAAAGAGTTTAAATCAGGTAACCAGAACCAGCTTTTCCCTCTTCCCTCACTGTGAGAAAACACAAGACTTTGTAACATGAAAAGTCTGCCGTGATGATATCGGTAACCTCTCCCCCCTCTCAGTGTTGGAGACGGGGAGAGATGACAGTCTTCTGTCGCTGTGCCCTGCAGAGGGGACTAATAAAGAGCACCATGGTGAGCTACAGAGCTGAAATTTTCCCCTCCATTGACTTCTTTAGAAACACTTCCCGTCCATCCCACTCGCTGCAGTGTTTTAGTCCTCTCTGCACAGATGAGAAAAGGCTCTAAGGAGATCTCGGAAGACTTTTTAGTACAGTTATAGTTCACTCCCAGCAAAGTCCCAGCGTGACTGTACGCTTTTGTTACCAAAATGGAGATGTCACATTATTCCCCGGAGAGCGTCTGTTTTTCAGGCCATGAAAGTAAACTAAAAGGTAAATCATTTGCTTCACTTGGGTTTACAGACACTGTATCTTCCTCCCCCAGTATAACCCCTGGACTATTAAAAAGGCTTTAATGCTGATGCATGTCACTCTCCTCCTAATAACAGAACAAATAAAACATTTTGGGTTTACAAGGACCACAAATAGATTTAAAACACAACCCAACCAAATAATGTACAGTAGTATCAAGTGAGGCAAACATGACGACTTGGTTATCTCTGTACTCCATTCTGCTAGACCAAAATGCCCTGCCTGTCCAAGTGAACCTGAGAGTTCTCACTATGGGACTTTCACTTTTTCAGCTCTCACACCCGTTTCCCCTTATAAACCAGAGCAGTTTTTACAATTCTGCTGTTTATTTTGCATTGTCATTACTTAAGATAATAAAATAATACCAGGGGTGTGGAAATTTTTGAAAAAATTACTTGTCCAAGGACTAAAGCGGGGGCCAAATCTACTTGTCCCTCATGACAATCTACTTGTCCTGATACACAAAAAATTATTTTAACCAAAACCAAATTTAGCAGTCGTAAGAAGCGCTTCTCATTGGCGAGCGAAATTCAGAATACATGGAACAGGTACAGATAGTACACCCGTACTGGTGGATGGGAAGGACCGTTTGCTGAAAGGTAAGTATAGTGGGAGGGAGATTTGTGTGGGTAATTCCATTTTCCCAAATTACTTGGGAAAGTGAATTT